TTTGTATCTTAGTGCACAGGCTGTCTGTGTGCTCTCTCACTTGCGTATCAGAGCTGTTCATATTTTCTGTGTATTCATGCTCGTCAGTTACTAGCATTGCAGACATCTCCCAACCTGTGGTTTTTGTTTGCCTTTTTTTTAAATTTAAATCCAAGCTAGTTAACATACAGTGTAATAATGGTTTCAGGAGTAGAACTCAGTGATTCATCACTTACATATATAACACCCAGTGTTCATCCCAACAAGTGTCCTCTCTCATGCCCATCACTCATCTGGCCCATCCCCCACCCGCCTCCCCTCCAGCAACCCTCAGTTCTCTGTATTTAAGGGTCTCTTGTGGTTTTTGTCCCTCTCTGTTTTGCTTTTTTTTCTCTTTTCATTTTGAAATAATACAGATTCACAGGATGTTGCACAGAGTGTACAGAGAGGGCCTGTGCACCCTTCACCCGGCTTCCTCAATGATAATATCTTAAGTTACTGTAGAACATTATCAAAATCAGAAAATTGGCATTGGTTTGATGCATGTATAATTCTGTGTCATTTTATCACATGTGCAACTATCAATGGAATTAAGATACAAAACTTTGGTCATTCTACCCATTTATAGTCACACCCACCCCACCTCACTTTCCACCATCCCTAACCCCTGTAACCACCAATTTATTCTCCATCTCTATAATCATGTCATTTTGGCAACGTTGTGTAAATGGAATGATACAACCTGTGACCTTTTTTACTCAGCATAATATCCTTACAACCCATCCAAGTTGTTGCACTATCAATAGTGTGTTCCTTTTTGTTGCTGAATAGTATTTCATGGTAGATGGCCACGGTATGGTTTTCCAGACTTTTCCAGTCACCTGTTAAGTGACATTTCAGTTAATTCTGGGTCTTGGCTAGTACACATGAAGTTGCTGTGAACACATGTGTGGGTTTTGGCACGGATGTAAGTTTTTATTTCATTTCATGGCTAGACCATACAGTGAGTATATGTTTGATTTGTTAAGAAACTACAAGGTATTTATCCAAAGAATACAAAAATGCTGATTTGAAGGGGCACATGCACCTCAATGTTTACAGCAGTGCTATCGACAACAGCCACCTTATGGACAGAGCCCAAATGTCCATTGACTGAGGAATGGGTAAAGAAGATGTGGTATGTATATATACAATGGAATACTAAAAGAAGACTAAAAGAATTTCATTCAAAAAGAATGAAGTCTTGCCATTTGCAGCAA